GGCCTCCCAGAGTGCTAGAATTACAGGCCTGAGCCACCGCGCCCGGCCTGTTCTGGTTTTTGAGTAAAATGAAACCAGTTTCCCAACTTTTGTACCTTTTAATTGTAGAGAAGTTGACAAGTGAGATTCAGAGTCGAGAAAATAAATGCATGGCTATGTACAAGAAGCTGAGCAGGTGGCCAGAGTGCAATGCCCTTTCCCGGCGCCTCTTACTGAAAAAGTGAGTAGATGCTTCTTTTGTACCCTGAGATTGTAGTGAGGCTCTAAGGCCTCAGTATTGAGTTTTTGTTTGTGTCTGTGCATTTTGAGATTTCTGGGCATAAAGTATTCTATTAGTAGTCATATCCTGGATGGTTTTTAAAGTTTTCAAGGAGCCTTCATCTTTCAATAAAGAGATATAATGTTACTTTATTTTCTCAGTGACCATGGTACTGAATATTAGTTAGGTCTTGAGAATGAATGCTGGAAATCATTAATTCATCAAATTCAGTATTGGCCTAAAAGAGAGAGGCTTTCTTTCTACAGCACTCTCCCCTCAACCCCCACATTTAGGAAGTGATTATGTTGGGAGTTTTCTATTAAGAATATTAGTTTTCTATGCCTAGCCATTTTATTAAAATAAAGAGTAATCTCTTAAAAGTTTGAAAATGCCTCTGGAAAATGCCCTTTCAGGGCTGCAAAGGAAACCCAGAGGGAGGGGTGGGCCACTCCTAGTACATCCTAAAATATATCTTGTTAGAACGTAAGTTGAATACTGTGGTTCCTAAGGTGTATTTGTCACAACTTGGGTTTAATCCTCTGTGCATCATTCAATCTGATTTTAGCTCAGATGACTGGCAGTTCTATCTGACTTATTTCGATTCTGTCTTTCGACTAATTGAAGAGGCCTGGACTCCTCCTGCTGAAGGTGAACAGTAAGTTGTCGTCTTTCCTGAATTACAGTGGCGCTTTTAAATATGTTGTAGCGAAAGAATTTCATTGTAAGCCAATTGAATTTTTTCATTATTTATAATAATGTACTCCTTTAAAAGTAAGAGATTTTTTTCCTATTTTTTTAAAATACACATGTTCATTAGTAAAATCTTTTTTTTTGAAAGGGAAACTAGCCAATGACTTGCAGTTTTACTGATTTTTTTCCAATACACAATATCACTGACATTCTTTAACTAACTTTTAAGTAAAGTTTAGTTCTTGACGTTTAGGTTACGGTACCACTAATGAAGCTTCTACCTTACCTGAGCTGTCAGCAACTAGATTGGAAACTCTGTTGAAGACTAAATCTATTACTCTAACTAACTAATCTCCCCATCTCACTGACCCCTCGAAGGGAATCCTTAATAATGGGAGACTGGAACATCCAGGGAGGGTGAAGTAGTAGAAAAATTTCTAGACCCGAGTCAGGCTATCTGCCACTGGCTAATCCTGTCTCTTACTCCGGGCCTTGGTTTCTCCATCTACAAAACCTGACTTAAGCAATTTCTAGGTCCTTATGGCTATGGTAACCCCGAAACACAATTTTTCTCCTCATCTGGCTTTACATGGAACACATGGGAGAACAGAAAAGAACCTTTTACTCCACTGAACAGACCCAAATGTTCAGATTTTATCTTATAAAGCTAACTAACTTCCAACTCACCCACCCTAAGCCCTGGGGCTGCCCGTTTGCCTTACGGAGAAGCCAAGGCAAATATAGCCCATCCCGCACTACAGTCAAGGAAGTGCGTAGGAGACCGTATTCAGGGTGTTAAAGATGCTGCCCGGGTGGGCTCCTAAGCAACGCTGAATGAATGAATGAGTACAACCAGATAGATGGACACTCCCTCCGCGTGGGCTGCAACTGGAGACTCTGGGCCCAGACTCTACCGACATCGATTCCCTCCCAGGGCCTGAAGAGCAGAGCCCCGAGCCCTGCCCCTTGCTCAGGCCAGAAGGCCGGCGTGAGCTGAGTGGGCCAGGATGACCCGGGCATCCACCCGCCGTGAGCCTGCCAGTGGGGGAGGAAGTGTCAGGGGTGAAGGCCCAGGCCCACCTGCCATCCGTGGCTCCCACACGCAGCGCATGGAGGGCCCGTCGCATTAAAATCTTGTTAGTGCAGAAATGTGTGATGTTGCAGTTCCCAGTTACGCTACCGTTCCAGAAATAACTCTTGATAACAGTTTGGTGTCTTTTCCTTTAGATTTATTTCTGTCTGTATGCTAACATAATTCTTATTATTTAACATAAAAATGGGATTGCATTAGATATAATGATCTGCAAGTTGGTATTTTCCTCCTTTAAATACATCTTGGACTTCTTTCCATATATGGTACATGTAGGTCTCTTTCATTGTTTTTAGTGGCTCAAGAGTACTGCATTTTAGAGATGTACCATAATTCATTGAACTTCTTCTATTGATGGTACTTGGATTTTTGCGGATTTCCTTTTTTCTTTCTTTTGTCCTTTGTTAGGGGCTACTACAATAAACATAAATGGGATCTTTTAAAAAAGTGAATTCAGAAATAAAATTTAAGATACCGATTATGAACTTATGCTTACTTTAGGAGTAACTTCAGGATTAACTAAGTTATCTAATTTTTCTCAACTTTCATTCTTCAAGCAATAAAATAAAATTTACTGATATTTTTATTGGGCAATTTTTTTATTTTAAGAGAGACAGGGACTCACTCTATCATTCAGGCTAGAATGCAGTGGCATGATCATAGATCACTGCAACCTTGAACTCCTGTGCTCAAGCCATCTTCCTGCCTCAGCCTCCCAAGTTACTGGTGCACGCCACTGCACTCAGTTAATTTTTTTGTTTTTTTGTAGAGATGGGGTCTTGCTGTGTTACCCAGGCTGGTCTTAAACTCCTGGCTTCAAGTGATCCTCTCACCTCTTGGCCTCCCAGAGTGGTGGGATTATAGGCATTAGCTACCATGTCTGGCCATTGACAATATTTTATACATACAAAATTATCCTTTTGTTTTAAAGAAAGAAGTCGAGGTGGTTAGTCACTGCATTAATCAAATGTCAAAATTGGCAGTAATCTTATGTTGTCTGTTGGAATATGCTCATAATTCTCTTTTATTCTCATTTG